GGCATCTACAGTAGTTTAAACATATAAAGATGGAACATCTGAGACCTTCACTGCGTAGGATTCTTGGTAAAGCAGGAATTAAGGTGACATTTAAACCCTAAAAACTTACTCTGTAGGTTAAAGTTAGACAAAATAATATGATTTGCAAAATGTCTTGCATTGACAGTGAGTTAAGTGAACTACAAAGGTCAAACTAGTAGATCCGGGGTAGTCAGATTGCCTGTTAGAACATAATACTTTAGTGGCTAAGGTCAGAATGATTCACCCCGTGAAGACAGATGAGTAATTTAGAAAAAAGTCAACGATTGCATCGCATGTGTTAACACAATCACAAATTAGGTTGACAGGGAGTTTGAATTCTGAAAAGTAACATAGGTAAGTGAAGAGAGAGATCGAGTCTGCACAAATGCAACAGAATTGACTGAACTCAAATACCAGAGATATGGAAGATATGATTACTATTCAAATTAGAGGATAATACATAATGTTAAAATTTATTTCAGTTCACATTGTCACACTCTAACAAGTTATTTATTTTATTTTATTGACAAAACATTTCGTTCCCCATCTTGTTGACTCACAACACTCATCCTAATTCCCATCGATATTATATTATATTAACAACACTAATATACGTTCAGAATGTACTTTATCTTCCGTTATGTTTCACGCTTATTCATTGAACTCTTACTGATTTTTATCCATATGTCTAGTCAAATTTTTCTTATATGCATAAACAAAGCAAAAGAGTTGTGTGAGTAATGTCTTGATATGATTATGAGCTGCAGTAATAAATTCGGGTGCTCGAAACATGGTCATCAGTATATATTTCTGTATAACACTAACACTACACTGTGTGAGACTTTGACAAAATAAAATTTTATCCAAAATTGAATTAAAATTCTCCGACACCGAGACCTTGACAATTTATTAGTTCAAACAAACAAAAAAGGAGCATTTGACATTACCAAAAGAGAAATGTTTCATCTTTACATCTAAAGTAGCGCGATGTTTCTTTCGCTTATAGATTTTCATAATATTGGCCAGGTTGGAACTCCTCAAACTTCAAACTTCCTCAGCTGACAGTAAGCCAGGAAGGTTGGGTATAACGTTAACAATCTTATCCCAATAAAAAGGCACTGGCTCCACTGAAACCCATAGCCTTGAGGGCTAATAGTTTACATGGAATGTAAAGCAGAGAGAAATACATCATTTTTGAGAAATATTTCTAAGCTGAGGGAGGGGCGTTTGGAAATATCCAAACCATAGATGTTTCTAATCCCCTGTTGAATAATTCGAGCAACATGTCAAACTGAATTAATGCAGAATTATTTATATTAACCCGGCTCTATGAGCTCTAGCTTTTTGAGTAAAGTCAAACGGATCTTGTTAAACAAGACATACAAGCGAACAATCTTGTTGTTTTCAATTAGATCTTCTTCTTCAGGCTTTAATCTAATTTACATGGATTTTTATGTCAAAAATTTAACCAACAACGGTGAGTTTGTGAATCAACTAATAATAATAATAATGTGTTAAGTGTTAAAACCTACGTCTGTAGGACACTATACACATTTCTTCAGTTTTGTACTAATACGATACAAAATCGATTTTTAGATGCCTCACGAGTAGAGCAATAAGGATCTTTATAGATGACTCCCTAGAAAATGAGTTAGGATACATCCAAAATACGCCCATCTAAACGGGTTACTCTAGTAGATTTGTAAGGAGACTCATGAACACCAGGTACAATAAAGAGACACTGACAACAGTTAAAAAAGAAACAACTTTTCATGAAATTACAATTTAATGGGCACGTGGTTAGTGAAGTCCAACATCTAAGATTATCGAGAGCAATAAAATGGGTTTATTCAAGTGTTGGTTTGTAGGGATTTGATTGATTACAGGATTTCATCATGAGTTGACATTAGTTAGAGAACCATTGGAAAACCTGGAAGTACTTGAAAGCTGTTTCGTCCAAGTTTCGGACTCTTCAGCAGTACAAAACCAACAGGGTTCGAACCCAGGACCTTCTGGTTACTAGGCGAGCTAGCTCGTATACCATTAAGCCACTGGGACCCGATCTAATGGCCCATGAATTCTAACTTCTGCCAATATACGACATAGCGCGACCTCCCTAGCCAATGTGTTCGGTGAGTATTTGTCCCCACACCCTACCGGCTGCACCTTACTGGGTTTGTACTTCTGCCACCCTCTGTTTGTCATTTTCCACCTGCCGATCAATTATGATTGCTCAAGCGAAAGACAAGCTGCCCACCTAGCTGTACCATTTCTTTGGCTATCTACGAATTTAGTTGCTCCTGTGGAGAAAGCTGGTTATATAGCTGGCCAGCAACTAGACAGGTAAACAAAATTATTAATGAGCATCTTCCTTCATGGTTCGGAAAAGGTCAAATAAAATCTATATGAAGTTCTGTTTTGTCCCGTTTGATCGACAGTAGTGGTCACCGACTAGACAGAAGACGTGCCTTCAAAGTTATCTATCACACTTTCCATAGAACCTTTCGAATGGAATTCGAATCCGTCTGTCAAAAACATAACCAAAGCTACGGAAATCAATTCGAAAGGACAATCCTAATGTCTTTGCATACAACAAAAGAAGTTTGTTCTGCCTTTGTCTCTCCCTTGTTTAGCCTAAATAACTTCTAATTCGAAAACCTCTAATCCTTTCTTATTTTCCATTTTCTTCATACTTTTATGATAATTGTTTAAAGTAACTTTTAGGAATTGACCTAATTTATTTATTTATTGAATCGTCTACATATACACACATAATATTACTACCTTCGATATTCATATCGCCACGTGCATAAACCTTATTATCATTATTTTGTTATCACTGTAATCATCGTTAGCAAAAGGACAATGCAAGAAAGTTACTAGCTCAATTATTGACCGCTTAGTCAAGTCAAGCAACGCATCTCCACCACAGTCTTCTTCCAAGATTATTCACAAGGTGAGGACAAGTGGTGCAAAGCGCGGTAGGTTTTGGCATTATTCATGTATAGCGGAGGCGTTGGCAATTCATCATTACAACACTGAATTCTTTACACAGAAAAACTTTACCGAATCAATTTCTATCAAACGCTTCAAACCAAATTTATGTGTTCAGAAAGAAGCAGTTATTAGTCTTTCCTTGCCCTACCTGGTAACTGGATGTGTTTATTCTCTCTTTCACTTGATTAGGTAATCTTTGTCTTTAACTTCACCCTCCTTTTATAATTTGTAATTTTGCTTATCTCTTGTTTCTATGATTTGATTGCATGGAGGATTTGAGTTCAACTCAGTACATTGTTACTTAATTTATTAGTCACTCTGAGTCTTACGCATCGCTCGTCTTTATTACATAACTACCTTACCATTACATGCATACATTTACTTTGTTTAAACTTCAACGCCCCGTGTAAAAACTTTGTAAGTGCAATTTTCTGAGCACTGGTGACTGATTGCAGAACATTTTGTCAACTGACATCATGAAAAAATCCGCGAGTTTGTTAAAATGTTTCTGTACATAAGTCTCATAATTTATTCAGGCTGTAAGCAGCAGATGATCAGAAGCCAACGAAATAAACAATGATGGTACCATATTATTCCGCACAAACCACCGCTGTTGCTGTTCTCGCTTTCTTTAAATTCATCAAGGGGAATAAATGCATGAAATATATCAATTATGTCACACACATACACACACTTCCCCACCCCATTACTCAGTAATTAAATGGGATTGCACGGCAGCTAGTGATGATGATTTCGTCGATAAAGAAAATTTCCTTCTCTGAATTGCCTATGATTTTCTTCATAACTCAAAGCGCTGTATCATTAAATAATTTAAAGATTCCCATAATGATGATTGTAGAATACGATTTAAGCAAGAAAATACGTATTTTCGGTAAATTCTCATCAGGCTTCATATGTAAGATATAATGACGAAATATTAGTCATAGGCATTTGAATTAATGTGGTGTAGGTAGGTAAGTGTGGGTAGGTAGAATGGTGAAAGCAGAGGGGAAAACAACTCGAGAATTGAGCTAGTAACTATCTTGAATCGTCCTTTTGTTAACCGTGCCAAATAATGTTAAGAGATGTATTTGGAGAATGTGCACTTTGTGTCACCAATATAGCTAGAGCTCCATATGGGCAGGTGAATTTACAAACATCCACTGAAGTGGCTCAAAGCAGCAGTAGTTCATCCTTCACACATCCACTGATCACTTGTCGACTGTATCGCTTTGCTAACCAATCCCATCGATCAGCACCCACTTTCTTTTCCTTCACGTTCCCCAGTAGAACATAGGGCTTCAAGCTAATGGCTTGAAGTTTCTGTAGCAGTGTTTATTTCACAGGATGTGGCTGCTAGCCTGATGTACAACCTTTCCTCTTTACCAGGATTATTTCTGACTTAGCGAGGTAAAGGAGTGCGTCGGTGGCCAGGGATCGAACCCCGCACCATGTTCATAGTCGGAGAGCGTCCTAACCACTATGACACCGATGCTAACACCCCCTTTACGTTCATGTTATGCACCAAACGGGCAACAACGTCTCACTACTGCTTCAGAATACCCATCTGGTCGTCATTGATGAACGTGAGACCGGTATTTAAATTATAGGGTTTATGAAAATTTGGATTTCGTCATGAACTGACATTATTTAGAGAAATCATTCAAGATCAAGGGACATCAGATAACAGTTTCATCCCATGCTAAAGACTTCGGCAATTCGCAACTACAACCCTTTGCACGGATCAAACCTGGAACCTTCAGGCTGTGTAATTAGATAATCGAAATCCATAATCTGACCAATTAAACTCTCGTTCAAGACAAGCTCTGGATTCTGACCAGCGAATGTTTAAGTTAAAAACGTAACTGTAGGGTATACGCGGGAAGGGGTGGGGGAAGAAATGACTGTAATCTATACACCGAATATGGTATAATAACTATAATAAGATAATTAATTACACACAATAATCGCAGTCAACTTACTTTCACAAATTTGTCCAATACGCTTTTCCATTTCTTTGGTTTTTGCCTCACTCTGCAATACATCACCTTGTAGTGGTAATTCACTATTTGAACTACTCGAATAACCTGATAATTTACTAACTGATCCAGGTTCATTAATACGTATATGCATAACAATACGTTTTATCATCCCCTGCAGGCTTTTATACCGTCTTAATGGATCCAGTGGACGACTTGTTTCATAATCTGTTTGCAGTTGTTCTAATATTTTACGAATTTGTTTCCATTCACTTGTCAGACATTCATTCTCTAGCTTAAGTCGTTTAAATTCTGTTCTCGCTGGATCTTCCAATGCGGCCATTATCACTTCACGTGTTTTAACACGATCAATACTGAATAGCATAGACATACGACGTAGTTTGTCGGATGGTGAAAAGATATTGGAGGATTCATTGGAAGAATGAATAGTAGAATGAGGAGTATTATTGCTGCTGTTACCCCCACCACCACTACCGGTATACAAGGATTTTCCACTTAATGAAGCAGCTCTTGATGATTTTTGTGCAATCGGTGTCACTGAAGTACGACGTGGTAGTCTACGAGGAGCATTATTGTTGTTGATGTTATTGTTGTTTAAATTCTCAGAATTCGAGCATATACTTCCTGTACGCTTAGATAAATTGTTCTCATGCATAGCTACTTGATTTGCACAACTGAATTTCTCTTTGAGTATCTTTCTTATTAAACATAATAAACATGATATAGGAAAAATTTCAAGTTAATTAAATACATTTGAATTAGAATAGCAGATTAATTCTGATTGGTTAAATCTTAAAGAGAATCTCAAATTTCAACCAATCACATCAACCAATGTACATCAATCATTGACCAATGTTAAATAACACAGTAACGATTATTCAAGAGTTGATTTAAAGGGATCTGATTGATTCGTTACAGGATTCCATTGTGAACTTACATCGCTTAGAGGAATATTGGAAGACCAGCACTGGAGTACTGGACAGGCAGCTGTTTCGTCAGTGTAGTTTTGGACTCTCCAGAAACACGCACCCACCTAGCTCCCAGAGTTCGAAGCCAGAACATTTTGGTTACAAGGCGAGGTCGGAGACAATTAAGACACTGGTACCCAACTGATCCAGTGGCCAATTTATGAATTCCAACTTCTGTCAATTCATGATATGGCGCGAATGGCACTAGCGAATGTCATTGCTGGCTAGTATTTGTCCTCACTCCGGACCACCTGCTCTGCCCTACTTGTCACGACTTCCCACTACAACCCACTTAGCTAACCACTACCCAGCTGAATAGGGCCAGTCACTAGTGAACATCAGATTGATATTCAAAGGAAGTGTTGGTTTTCAGGAATTTGATGGGTTTCAGGATTTCATCATGAGCTGACATCGGTTGGAAGACCAGTTTTTTCGTCAGCCTAGTCTTGGACTCTTCATCAGTATGCATCTGCTGAGGTTCGAACCCAGAAACCGTGAGGTTGCGTTCTTAACTCCTGTAGATTTAATATTGGCTTTCATTTTAAAATAAATGCATCACAAATGTACAAAAATAATAAGCAAGATCAATTGACTGTGAAGATTGTGCAGAAAACGACCTCTACGTCATTCAGGATATTCTAAGCGAGAACGGATATCAGGAGAAATTCATTAAAAATAACACAAGTTACAATAATCGTTAACATGAACTGGAAGCGGTGGAACAAAAGCCTTTATTTTTATGTCTACAATTCAGGGGAGATGCACCTTGAGGAGATTCTATCGCAGTGTTTAACAAGGGCAGTAAAGAAAACTTTCTACTCTGCATATCTGTTACTATCCTTCAGTAGTCGTCCATTGTTCACCCAGCAACCTTAACCCTAACCCTTCTTCATGCGGGGACCATTTCAACTGTTCTTGTAGTACAATTTATATAGACACTTAAACATTTCAGTTAGACTGTATTTACAAATAGCGGACGAGATGAATTAAGGTCGAAATGTTTTCTGTAATTGGTTCGTAAGGATTAGTTTTGTTTTTACGAGTTGATCGTGGATTGATATCATGTAGAGAAGCATTGAAAACAAGCACTGGAGTACTGGACAGCTTTTTCATCTTAGTTTGGGAATCATCAGAGTATATTGGCTACTATATGAATACGTCTGCTGACTACAATGACTTCAGTATTCAACATGGTCCCTGTTGTGAATATTACTATAAGACTTCATACGACAGTAATTCCTAAAATATGTTCCTAGCTTAATCAACACTTCCATGGTTTTCATAACATTTCAGATTTATGTTTTGATTCAGAACATTTTAAACAACAATGATAGTAATGTCATTATCAGATATACATACTGTTAACAGCAAAAGGCATATGCTCAGAAGACACTCAATTGATATCAGACTCCAAGGAATTGAATGGAACCTGAATAGGAAGGTATGAGTTTGACATAAAGCCAAAGAAGACACGGAGAGGAGGATGTTAAGAAGAAACGAAAGTGTGTTGGTAGTCGTAGAGCCAGAGTTGAAAAACCCAACAAAGAGCACAGTGAAATGTTAAAGCTTAGTATGACATTTAGATTCCATGAGACAAATGGTTTTAGTAAGTATTGAGAATACAAGTGATAACCTGTGAAGTTCAGTGGCTAGATGAAACAAAAGTTAATGTTTAACAAGAATCCATCACTTAGTATAACAGTAGAAGACTTTTGTGATAAAAACAAAATGAGAAATTAATTTCCACCTCGATGATCAAAATTTAAAGAAAACATTGATTAGTGGACAGCTTCATCAAGTTATTATTCATGAATTATTATTACTTCTTCCTTGAGTTCTGAGTTGAACATTGGGCTTCAGAAACACATCTCTTCTCTCTTCTTCTTGCTAATGCTTTCTCACCGGCTGACAATTTGATCTTTAGTATAAAAGCAGCCAGAAAGTCTGCCCTAGCCTGTTGAAAATGCTTTTCGTGACTGACTCACGCGCAATGCAAGTTTCTCACCCGTATATATAAGAACTGACCGACTTCACTGACATTCGTGTGGAATAGAATCCGTATCTGGTTCTTGATGCTGGCTGGCTGGCTAGCTGGCTTTGACACCTTCATCCGTGCTGTCCAACTGCCTACGTTCTCCCTGTGCTTCAAATCGTGCTGGCTTCCTAGCCAGACAAGTGAAGGCAGGAATTAACCTCTGTCATATCACTCCTATTGATAGTGAGTGATGCTGTTTATTGTTGTCGTTGCTGTTGGTGGTTGTTGATTCGCTTCATCACCTTCGACTTCTCTATGTTCACCTTCAGTCCTGCACTGCTTCCTTAGCTGATTATTTGGTTTTCGCCTGCCTGCCTGCCTGACTGCAAATCTTTGAGTCTGTATCACATTAAACATAAATCATCTGTAAAATCCAAATCCTCTAGAGTCCTTTTATCGGACAGCGCAGCGTATCCGTGACTTCTCACGCCTTGTGCACAGTCTTGGGCATAAGTCAGGCCAACACGATGAGGAATATCATCGGTGACGATAGTCGGGCAGCCAGTCTAGTCTTACTCCTATATTCAGTTCATAGTCAGGATTCGCTGAGTTTTCTGTTGCCGGTCATCTGGCTGGCATGTTGCAGGCATTGTCATATAGCCAACTGTTGAATGAGGTTGACAGAGACTCTGACACTGCGCGCCATAGTTTTGATGTAATTTCCAAATTACCTCTCGGTCAACGCTATCTGTCGAAGGCGTTTTCGAATTCAATGAAGTTTTGAACATAGACAGAGGTTTGACTGACATCCTATGCTTTATTCTGTGAGGACAATGCATAGAATTGCAATTTAATCAACACATGATTCGCCTTTCTTGAATCCAGCTTGTTCCAGGTTAGTGGAGTTGTGCCTCCACGACATCTTTTATTCTCTTTAGGATGTTAGGGATGCAAAATATTTTATAATCCAAAGAAATTATATGAGGTATTTGTTTTTTACCGATGAGTTCCTTCGAGTTTACAATTTTTCATCATGTGTATCATCATGATTCGCTTGAGTTCCTAGTGGAAAATAGAGCTTCAAGAGAACACTTTGATTTCACTCGGTTCTATACAGTCCTCTATAGCTGGCTGGCTTCACAATTGTGCATAGACCTGCATTTCTTCTTGATATAATCCCCTTGCCATCCCTTATTGGATTCACGTCCAACTTGTCTTTTCATCTTCAAGATTAACTGAAGGGCATATGATGCCTCTAAACGGTTTCCTTAGTGGGTGTATAATCCACCTACATTTCTTTTAGCATATTTGTTAGGTATTAGGTTTTTGGTTTATTTTCTGGCCTATAAAGAGTCTTTCAGTGCCTATCCTTTCTGATGACCATTCATCCTGCCATCAGTAAGAGTTTTTAGTGGGCTATTGATGAAAATCTTTAATAGCCTGTTGAAAATACCTTTGATGATTCACCCGCAAAGCCTTCAACTTGACATTAGTGTTGGAAATCTGAAAATTATTCCTCAGGTTCAGAGAAGAAGATTTCCAAAATGATTCCAGAATAAATTAGGTCGATTGTTGCTTTACTGACGATCTTCGTTGGCTTTCACATATTCATTCAATCTGTAGTTGAAATAATTCTGCTAAATAAGTGAAAGGAGTGACATTGCTAGAAATTTTTCTGCTCACGATATTAGAGATTAGTCATCCGCCAAGTTAATATCGTTCAGTGTCTTCTCATAGGTCTAACATATTCCTGTCTTCTCACTCCTCATAGTCCGTTCTATGACCCAATCCACCAAAATCAGGAATATCACCTGTGACAGCTGACAGCAGCCTTATCCTACTTCTATCTTCACTTTAAACACTTTGCCTCCAGTTACTTCCAGTTATGAATTATTTGGTATGTGACAATATCACATAGCCAGCTGTTGTATGAGATTCAAAAATGTATATGGTATTTATTGGACAGCATAGTGTTGAAGCAGTTATCAAATCGCTGCGTCGTCGACGCTGTCGAAGGCCTTTTTGAAGTCAATGTATGCTGAGGTAGGATGTTGACTGGTATTTTATACTCTTTCCGGTGATGACGATGTATATAGTCTTGCGATTTCACCTGCAAATGATTCTCCTTACGTGAATCTTGTTTGTTCCTAGTAAAGCATCTTTTAGTCTTTCCTGAATGATACGTTTTAATTCGAAAACTCTGAAGTATTTAAGCTGAAATGTAAGACTCTATTGAATACAACGACCGGTCATTAGGATGCTATTTTTGTAGTCCTTAGTACTGACAACATTTTTACCTAACATCATCTATGAAAGTAGGTCACTACAGGGAGTCATCTGACTTGTTGACCATAGTTTAACCTTGTTTCACAGAATTCAGTCAGGATTAAGGACTTTAGATGAGCAACTAGCAGTCTTTTAGAAGGATAAAACTTGGGCACTGTGGTGGTGCAGCGTAATTCCATTTTTATTTTGATAAAAATTCACACAGTGTTATGCAGTAATACTTAATGATATCCACTTTTCGAGCACCCCAATTCATTACTACAGCTCATAGTCATGTCAAGACACTACTCACACACCTTTTTTCCTTCATTTATATACATGAGTGGAATTGATGATTTGACATTTGAATAAAAATCAATATAGGATGATGTACATTCAGAAATAATTATATGAGTGTTATTGATCAATTACAATCAGATGGAAAATAAGACGAATGTTCTTATAGACATAATAAGTAACTTGTTAGAATGTTGTGATGTGTTTGAATTGAAATAGAATTTTAAGATTATTTATTA